TGTTTTAATAGCAAAAAATACTGTAGCCAATACAGCTTTTTAAGAACAATTTCTCCAAAAATGGTCAAGTTTCTATTTGTTTACTGGTTGTGAAAAAATTAGCAGTGACATGAGAGCACATCTCTGCCTGAGAAATGTCATTTTACATAATATTATTTTAAACTGAGAAATCGCATATTTTATATATATTTTTGATGGCATCTAGATAATAATAATTGGATCTCCAGAAATGACAAAGGTAAACTTTACCTTTAAACTTTATTGGCAATTGGCATCAAACGTTTTTCCCAAAATGAATAAAAGAAATACACTGAAATACACAACTTTTGTATCCTTTATTTACCAATAAATCACAAACGCCCAGTTTAGTCCTGGTAGACAAACAACCTCTAGTAATATTAACTGATTTCTTTGTAGATCTTCACTACATATTAAGACGTCATCTTTCCTTCAAAAATATTTTACTCAGCAAAGCAATGAGGCAGATCTTCAAGACAATGAAGGAAGCTCTTTTATGAGAACTGTAGTGCATTTGACCCTTTTGCCTAACACAGGCCTACAATGCATTTATTAAATTAAACGTAGGCCTATAGTCAGAACTTGAATAAAATAAAATGTTTTTCCCCATCTTTTTTACATTGCATTAAAATTTGTGTTTTAAACTTTTGCTGGGCTATATTAATAATATAGCTTAGAGGCATAATATACTTTTTAAAAATGTGATTTATTTATTTATTATCGTTTATTTAATATCGTTAAAAAATGTAGCCTAGAAATTTAATTTGCCCCCTCTTTAAAACACACTTTTAATTAAGACACTACTTGTATTTATTTTTGTGAGTAACGGTGCTACTTGTAGCAGAAGGCTTTTTAAAAAAAAATGTAAACTGATGAACTTATTAATATATATCTAGTATCGTTCAGCAGCTCTCAGCTGTGACACTAAGCATTAATCTTTCGATATTAAAAAGTTGTCCAGAAAGCAAGTTAACACGGCCATTGTCCAGGTTAGCACAATCCCCGTTTCCCGTCTCATAAGAAAATTCTGCAAGGGAGAAGAAAAAATAATAAAGCTGTGGTACTCGGATTATCGTGGACGAGAATAAAGCATTAAATGGGGCTAAAGGGGCCTGAATAGACGCAGTGGCGTGCGAAGAGAAGCAGAGTAATTATTGCTTCATAATTGTGTTCTTTTTCTTTTTTTCAGACAGCATCGCGCTGCAGAGCCCCACTTGGAGCGGTTGTGACATTTAGGAGGCCGGTCTTTGTGCTCAACACTTCAAGTTTAAAAACAAGGCCAATTGAGTCGGCGCAGCTCAAAGCCCCAACCATTGTGAGGGACCACATTGAGTTTGGATTTGGGACAATGGTGTTTCTCAAATTTCTTGCAAAAACCTATACTCCATCTGTGATCTCAATGAGCGCTCTTTCACTGGGCTCCTGCTTTTCTGTTTGATTCGTTTGTAAAGGGAGGCAGATGTGGAGGGATGGGGGCCGCATTTTAATTGGCTGCTGCCCGAGCATACACTCACATCATTTCATCTGTCATCGGCGTTGTGCATCCTTGGTGTAAAAAGTGGAAGTGAGTCTACAGAGTAAAATTACAGTAATAAGTTGTTTTTATATTGTGGTCTTGTATATTTCCCCCCAATATAGACTGGACGTCTTAATAAAGTTATTTCCCATCTTGCAATTTTAAAGTTTGCAGAACCAGAAAGGAAGACCGCAATATTATAGTGTAGACTATATTTTAAGCATCAGACCAAGAATAGATTGCATTATGATTTTAAAGTAGGTTGACAGAAACGTTTCAAAGTTTCCGTTTCCATCAAGATTTAAGAGACTTCTTTTGTAACATGAAACCTAGGCTATATGATTCTCGAACTATTTTGTTTGATTAAAACAAAAAGGCACCAAAAGGTACAAAGTAGCCTACTGCTCACTCTCAGAGGGAAAAGGTACAAAATCGGTCACTATAGCTTTCCAAAATAAAAGTGATAAGTACACTTAGGGTAAAATATGTACCTTTCAGGTATAAATGTGCTATATTTAGGGCTAAATAAGGTACTAAAGTTTACCTATTGAAAAGGCACCACCCCAGTGACAGTTTTTGTGCCTTTTTTCTGAAAGTGTATGTGAGGGTTGTTTAATTTCGTAAATTAAAATAAGTATACGGATGGATAAATAAGCGTTAATTAATAGCCTAATTACATAATAGGCTACGCTAAATGAATAAATATTAAAAATATATATTTTTTAGATGAATAACTAAAGCCAGCCACATCGAGCGTCCATCCTAAGTAAGCCAATAAAAGCTTAATTTAACGCAGTTATTTTAAGCGCTTTGTTCTGTGCCTTTAGGGGAATGCCGTTGCTGCGCTCAAGGGTCCTGCGCGGCGCGGCAGCTTTTCATGTGAACAAGAGGTTAGCAACCTAATGAGGACTTGGAGACGAGGTGAAGCGTGTAAATACACTGGTTTTTTCTAAAAAAAACGCGCGCTCGGCACCCTCATTCCCCTTTTTTTATCTGCTACTCTAACCTCTGCTGCGCTCTGCGCACTCAACCATTCCAGCAGGAGTTCCGCAGAGAGGCAGTTCGGATCCAGTCGCGCTCCGGCCGGGTATCAGCGGAGAGAAAGATCCGTACAATAGCGCTCCGGGGTGCTGGAGGAACAGAGACATGCTGTTACATATGTCGGGTCAAGCATCTCTTTTGTGCTGCTTTAAAAAGGTGTAAAACTCAGTCAGCGGTGGAGATTCTAAAGGGAGTGAAAGCCTTGTATGGGGTTTTGATGCATAGGTCTGATGAACTGTTGAAAGAATGTTGAATTTCCTAAGTGCCCACAGTCAGTTTTAATTGCCCGGGGGCATTTAATTGGAATTCACAGAGACGCCCATTCAATGGAGAGATTTTCTTTTTCAAGTAAAGTGTGTAGAGGGCCGGATTCATTATTTAAACTTCATAAAATATATATAGGTTCTGCCTGAACAGAATCTGTCAATGTTGCGTACTCTCTTAAAAACAAAGGGGTTTTAGCGCGTCTTGGTTTCAGAGTAGAACCTTTTTCTTCCCGAAGTTTGCTCTGTGGCTATTCTGAGAATTCAAAAAGTTTTTAATGTTTAGCTACACTTAGCTGTGCATTGGTTTCGAAACGTTTTCTCGAATGGATAGAAAGTAATTGTGAAAACCAAGTTTATTAGAAATAATGAGCTTTACATTGTTTAAAATACATTTGATATTCTGCATACACTAAATGTTTTGCGTTGAATAAGTGGGTTGTATAAAAGTAGTTTACTTTGAGTTAGTTACATTCCGAAAGGTGTGTCTATATGGCTGTCTTCGACAGAACAGCTTACATAAAACCGGCTTAGTTCTCATATCTGTCAAAAGATCACAATTGTTCAGAGTTGTGCTCTCATCATCTCTCAGTTTATGAACAATCAACGCTTGCTTGCGGTTTTGTAATGATCTCGGGATGTCTATTTTCAGTCGCGTGAGATCGCTGCCGAGATAATGACTTTGAATGTCAAAAAGCTTTAGTTTAATATCGTCTCTATTAGTGTGCTGGTTGGGTAATTAAAGGTGGAGATGAGGAGGAGGAGGGAGGGGAGGGGAGGGGAGGGGGGACAGATGGCATTTGCTTACTGTGATTGAGTGTGTAAACAATAAGAAACCGAGCGACAGGGAAACAGTACAGGCCCACATCACTTTATCGAAGGGGGTGAGAAATTCAAAGTCCAGGTACCAAAGAGAACCACGGCGATCTGCTTTATTCTTTGAAAAATAATCCGAACCAACAAGAAATAATGTTCAGATTTAAGTCTGTTGTTGTCTAGCAGATTTGTTTAGCAGATGCAAGCAAACAGTTCATTTTTAGCTGATAAACTGCATTTTTTATTTTTGTAATCATGTACAATGCATCCTTTAATAAGTAAGCAATATAGGAATACATTCAGTAATCCTGTAGCCTATCTAGGCTACCAGAAACTCGTATTTTCGTATTTTACCAGAACATATTTCAAACGTGCTTAGAAAATTCAATTACTTACCGTTTTAGTATTATGACACCACAATCTTGAAATATTGGATAATTATGTAGGCTAAAGAAAAATATGGACGTTGTTTAAAAAAAACTACGCTAATCTAAGGGTAGATAAATTGAAGCATTGAAGCAAAAAATAATTTTAGGCATCTGCACTGACATTTTAAAACCTGACTAGTTTTACAATAATAGGCTAATCCTCGCTTTTAATTTGTGAACGTGTCGAATCATAACAAAACAATTGCGTGTAATTCTAAAATAATTTAGCAATAATAATAATAGTAGTAGTAGTAGTAATAATAGCACTTTCTGTTGAAGTTCGTATTTTGAACAATTTAAAAGTATGAAGAGCGCTAAAAAAAATATTCAAATAGTCACATGAAATGTGTTCGAGAAAAAACAAACAAACAAGAAGACTGTTAGTTAAGCAACGAGAACAACGCTTACAGTAAACAATACAATGCCGGTGAGAAATATAGTGTTTTAATAGTATAAATGTTCGACAGATACAGAGAAACAGAAGCGATAGTTTGTCTTGCAAAGGCTAGAATGATATAACTATTCCTATGGCGCTAAACCACACACATACCATATCAATCAGTACAGTGTTCATTCAGTTCATCTTAAATAATTCGATTAATCAATGATAAATTTGTTTATATCGATGATAAATGGCAAGCACGTCGAACCTTTTTGACTGTAATAGCCGGCGTTTAAATCAGTATAATGCTACAAATTAATGTCATTTTCAAACGACGCAAACAATTACAAACATGCAGTAAACAATTACGGACAACGAACTGCCCTTAAAGTCTAGCATAACAACTTACCGTTTTGCCTTTATCGATATTGACGTCATTCTACGAGGAATTGGCTCTTCACTACAGCAAAACCCTAGAACAAAATCTTGTCTTTTAAAAGATAAATTAATTACGAAACTTATTTTGGCTGACACCTTTATCTGGATCGATGACCCCACATCAGGCGCCTGGAAAGTCCGTATCCACAGACACCGAATCCGTTCCAGGAATGTCGTCTCCAGATATGCGTCACGGCTCGGGTTCGGAGAACGGTGACCGCGAGTCCATCGTGAGCTCCCCTATAGCCAAACCATTAAAAGACGGCGATGAGACGCCAGGCTCCATCAGTCCGCTCGGCTCAGACTCCGGCTCGGATACGGATAAAGACGATCAGGAGCCCTCGCCCTCCTCCGCAGCATCGCGACAGATGAACGCCATCGACATCCTAACGAGGGTTTTCCCCAACCACAAGCGCAGCGTCCTGGAGCTTGTGCTGCAGGGATGCGGCAAAAATGTGGTGCAAGCCATAGAGCAAATCCTCAACAACAGCGGTCAAGCCAAGGGCCCAGATGAGTCCTGGACGGCGGATCGGATGCTGCAGAGCGCACAGCCGCCCATGTCCTCCACCCCGCGGCCTCTGTTACCTGGAACCATGACGCTCAGCAATAGATCTGCCTTCTCTCCTTTGCAACCCAACGCGCCACACTTTGGTTCCGATCCGAGCACGTATCCTCTCAGTACGCATTTGGGCTTGAACCCACTCCGGCTGGCGTACTCGGCTCACAGCAGAGGCCTGGCCTTCATGGCTCCATACTCCACCACGGGTCTGATGCCAACATTGGGCTTCCGGCCGCCAATGGAATATGCCTTCAGTGACTTGATCAGAGACAGGACTCTCTTGCATAAAGATCAGAGCTACACCAATGGACTCTATGGTCCTCTGGTGAACAACACTCCAGAGAAACAGTGAGATAGTGTTTCCCAAATGTAGACAAAAGTGTTTCTTGTCTTTAAAGATTCGTATGCTTAAAGATTCCTCATCCCTAAAGACCCGCGGGCCTTGTGTTTCTGTATATAAACTATGTCTAGTTTAATCACCAGGAAAAAAATGTGTTTGGTGGTCGTGGCTTCTTTGAAGTTTGTGATTAATCAACAAGAAATGGTTACGCGTTAAGGTTAAAGTAGTTTTTACCCATCTTACTGCAGGATGGCGTTACTGCCTCAGCGCAAAACGAGCCAGAGGTGAATTATTTTAGACCTTTAGCTGGGTAACCATAGTATTTTCGAGTAATGTAAATTGTGCATTTTAAAATCCTTCACGTTTGTTACAATCCATTTAGATTATTTGCCAAACGGATTAAGCCCCCGTGTGATAATAGTGCAATCCCTAGAATAATAATTTGCTTCATCATTAAAAAAAAGGGAATATTCTAGCATTATTGTTATTGTGGAACGTCTATTATTCACTCTTTTTCTGCTCGGTGTCTGTTAAATCGTGCCATGTTCATTCAACAGAACAGAAGTTCTTTGGATTTAATATGGTTACTGGCTCAAGTAGACATTTGTGTTCCCTTTGTGAGTGATATATTGTGTTACACGACTAAATTATGTATATTGCATTTCTTGATGATAGTCATATTTGTCAAAGTCATTTTCTCAAAAAACATCAAAAGGGATCTAAAAAAAAAAGATGTAAAACGATTGTTTGTTGAATGAAATTTTGCTGCGTTGCGAAGTGTACATTTCTCTGTGTAAATTTTGCAAAAGAAATAAATGTTATTTTATTCTTACGTTTTGCTTGTTTTGTTTATCCATATTCTATCATCTGGCGCATTGTGCCTTATTTCAAAACACATTTAGCATATAATACAAACTTTAAAAAATAAAACAATTCCATACTTTCAATATGTTTAACAAAATTAATACGTTTAATGTATTTTAATACAAAGCTTCTTTTTTTTACCATATGTATTTTCCAATAAACGAATTGCTAAACATTTTAGAAAGTACATTTGTTAATTCTTTCATAACAATAGGCCTATGTCTAGTTATTATTTTTCGTATCGACAGTCCAAGTTAAAGAGAGATGATATTATAAGCTCTTCTCTTCTTTTAAAAGATTGTCGTGAATTCCCCGATAGCCAAACCATTAAAAGACGGCGATGAAACGCCAGGTTCCATCAGTCCGCTCGGCTCAGACTCTGGCTCGGATACGGATAAAGACGAGCAGGAGCCCTCGCCTTCCTCCGCAGCATCGCGACAGATGAATGCCATCGACATTCTAACGAGGGTTTTCCCCAACCACAAGCGCAGCGTCCTGGAGCTTGTGCTACAGGGATGCGGCAAAGACGTGGTGCAGGCCATAGAGCAAATCCTCAACAACAGCGGTCAAGCCAAGGGCCCAGATGAGTCCTGGACGGCGGATCGGATGCTGCAGAGCGCACAGCCGCCCATGTCCTCCACCCCGCGGCCTCTGTTACCTGGAACCATGACGCTCAGCAATAGATCTGCCTTCTCTCCTTTGCAACCCAACGCGCCACACTTTGGTTCCGATCCGAGCACGTATCCTCTCAGTACGCATTTGGGCTTGAACCCACTCCGGCTGGCGTACTCGGCTCACAGCAGAGGCCTGGCCTTCATGGCTCCATACTCCACCACGGGTCTGATGCCAACATTGGGCTTCCGGCCGCCAATGGAATATGCCTTCAGTGACTTGATCAGAGACAGGACTCTCTTGCATAAAGATCAGAGCTACACCAATGGACTCTATGGTCCTCTGGTGAACAACACTCCAGAGAAACAGTGAGATAGTGTTTCCCAAATGTAGACAAAAGTGTTTCTTGTCTTTAAAGATTCGTATGCTTAAAGATTCCTCATCCCTAAAGACCCGCGGGCCTTGTGTTTCTGTATATAAACTATGTCTAGTTTAATCACCAGGAAAAAAATGTGTTTGGTGGTCGTGGCTTCTTTGAAGTTTGAGAAAATGGTTATGTGTAAAAGAAAATGGTTACATGTAAAGGTTAAAGTAGTTTTTAGCCATCTTACTGCAGGTTGGCGTTACTGACACTGCCTCAGCGCAAAAGGAGCCAGAGGTGAATTATTTTAGACCTTTAGCTGGGTAACCATAGTATTTTCGAGTAATGTAAATTGTGCATTTTAAAATCCTTCACGTTTGTTACAATCCATTTAGATTATTTGCCAAACGGATTAAGCCCCCGTGTGATAATAGTGCAATCCCTAGAATAATAATTTGCTTCATCATTAAAAAAAAGGGAATATTCTAGCATTATTGTTATTGTGGAACGTCTATTATTCACTCTTTTTCTGCTCGGTGTCTGTTAAATCGTGCCATGTTCATTCAACAGAACAGAAGTTCTTTGGATTTAATATGGTTACTGGCTCAAGTAGACATTTGTGTTCCCTTTGTGAGTGATATATTGTGTTACACGACTAAATTATGTATATTGCATTTCTTGATGATAGTCATATTTGTCAAAGTCATTTTCTCAAAAAACATCAAAAGGGATCTAAAAAAAAAAGATGTAAAACGATTGTTTGTTGAATGAAATTTTGCTGCGTTGCGAAGTGTACATTTCTCTGTGTAAATTTTGCAAAATAAATAAATGTTATTTTATTCTTACGTTTTGCTTGTTTTGTTTATCCATATTCTATCATCTGGCGCATTGTGCCTTATTTCAAAACACATTTAGCATATAATACAAACTTTAAAAAATAAAACAATTCCATACTTTCAATATGTTTAACAAAATTAATACGTTTAATGTATTTTAATACAAAGCTTCTTTTTTTACCATATGTATTTTCCAATAAACGAATTGCTAAACATTTTAGAAAGTACATTTGTTAATTCTTTCATAATAATAGGCCTATGTCTAGTTATTATTTTTCGTATCGACAGTCCAAGTTAAAGAGAGATGATATTATAAGCTCTTCTCTTCTTTTAAAAGATTGTGAAAGCCTCTCAACAGAGACAGTCTCAAAGCAGGAGCCCACTGTATATTCGCACGAGGAGTGTATAGCTGCGCTACTGAAACGCGATGCCATGGAGACATAATCCCCCTCGCCAGAGCTCAAGTGTTTACTTTCTCCCCGCAGATAAAAAAGTGTAAACAGCAGTGTCGGACTGACAGTGTGCCTTCATTTAACGGAGAAACCGAGCACTCCAATGTTCATAATGCACATTTGATGAGGTGCATGATAACACAGACCCTTCTCTCGGTTTGTTTGATATTTACATAGATAGTGTTTTAATACGTTTTAGATAAATTCCTCTGCCCGGGTGCTTTCTTTTGTACTCAGTTTTTATTTAGTTCAGTGATTTTATTTATTGTACAGTCTACATAATTATTACAATTTCGGTAGGCCTAATTGTAAATCGAATAAAAATACTATACTGTGTTACTATGTTATAGCCTAGTCTATTTTTTTTTTAAGTAATGAAATCGTAGGTCAAACGATTTACGACAAAATGTTTTTAAACTATCAAGTTTATTCATCTAAATAAAAAAGCCTAATAGCCTATACAGGCCTATGCTAAAATACATTCAAAAGGTGTGCTTATTTTTTTTTTTGCTGCTACGTTTAACAAAAAGCGTTGCATTTTGAAATGGAAAAAACATGTTATTAGACAGATTTTGTTTGTGCGTGTTCAGATGCCAAGCATGTTTAATCTTAGTTTCAATCTATTTTTTTCTTATTATTATTTCTATCTATTTTTACATTGCACAAGAATAACTGAAATGCATAGCATACGCCTGTTTGTCTTTTTAATTTTACATTTAGGCTACTCTTCTTCAGAAAGAGAACAGACAGGAATGTGGTAGCTCCATTTATATATTTTTCTTATTATGAATAGGCTATTTCAAATTGTCCTAGAGGTAACGCAAGGCTGCTTCTAAAATGCAAAGTTGATTATTTTCAAAATGATAAAACAAACAAACAAATATGATACCGTTTGTTTTGGTTCTATTTGTCCTTATAGAACAAAACCCGTTAGGCTACAGATATCAAGCGAAAAGAGTTTGAAGAATATTACGATTCTAAAAATAAAGAATAGAATAAAATGAACACCAATTACTAATATAAAGAGTCATTAAAAGCGCCAATACAAATAACACTATTGACAAACTGTCTGATGAAATTCCCTCGTCTTGAAATTGTTTCAGAATTTGGCAATCATGTTAAAATTCTGACCTTCAATGCGAGAGTATGTCGCCCTCTTATGGTAGAATGTGGAAATGAACGGAGACGGTCAGTGGATTCACAGGTGACTCGTCTAATAGTTTTGTCTTTGATTATGTCGCCACCTTGCGGTGAAATGTATGAAGAGCATACACAGAGGCGTCGTGAAGTCAATTAGTAGGCCAAACCGGAAGACCGTTTCTCGAGTTCACGCAGGAATTTTTATTTTATTTATTTATTTTTTACTTTATTGAACAATGTGAACTTTACAACCATAAATGGCCTGGTACGCACGCGGGAATTTATGATGGAGTTCTACTACAATTTAAGGTTAAAAGAAGGGAGGCTTATGTATAGTTAACATCACTTGAAGAGACGTTTAAGTGTACTACAATGCTAATTTGTCAAGCGTCTATCAAGTGATTTGCGCCATAGAGTGCAGTTTTGGACACACGTGCTTTGATGTTTTTGCTTAGAAACAAATCGTGCTGCTACTGACTAATAAAAACGTCAAATTAAGATTCATTTTATTGTGAGCATAAACGTTTTCAAAATGGCCAGAAGCACATCGGTCCCCATTTAAGGCAAGTCATGTATGGGTCCTGATTACCCTGTCAGGATTTATTATTATTAGCATGGAAACTATACGTGAGCTCTTATTTAATTAATATTAAATCTAATGTAAGATAAAATGCATCTACTATAAGATTAGATGTTAACTCTAGCAACTTCTCTTTGAGAAATGGTGAAACAAGTAAAGTGACAGGTGTAAGTGTAGAGATTATTTGTGTGTATACGTATTGTTTCATTCTGTTGTATCATTTATAGAAACCTTTTTTCATTTTTACAAGGTTTATCAGGTACGAATTTGCAATAAGACAGATCTGTAGCACCATCTACTGGACTGTTACTGATATAATATTATTTTGCCTTTTTTGATTCCATCTTACTGCTTCTTTCTTTGTCTTGTTTGTGTTGAACAGTGACAAAGATAATGATGCTTATACACAGTAAAAGTTTACAGAGCAAACCAGTAGTGCAATACAACATTTGCTGTCTATATGGATTACTACAATGGTTAAACCTGTAAAGCCCAACATATTATATTATAGTCTGTTTTCTTGAAATGGACCAGTTTATTGAAACTTTAAACAAAATCTAAAAAAAAGGGATTGCATGTGTTTTATTCAGCAAAAATATGCAATGTGATTGTGTACAGTTGCAGATATTTTTATAGTCAGAAAGTAAGGTGAAATTCAGATTGTAATGTAGCCTAAATCAATGATATAATTTATACTTCATAACAGTATTACAGACTATTTAATATGGGGGGGCAGCAATGCAATGCAATTCAATGATGATTGAGAGATGGACAAATAAATGTTCCTTAAAAGCCTGATATATCATATTTATGATGCTCACATTTTAACATGATTTTACTGAAAAAATGATGTGTGGAAAATCAAGAAGACCAAATATGTTGCTGCTGTCCAGTATATCGAAATATGACTAACAATATACATTTTTTAAGATTTCACATCGAAAAGACATAGACACAAAGAACAGTGCCTGAAGGTTTAATCATGTTGATAATTTAGAGGCCTTAGAAATTTGTGTATCAAATATGATACAGTAGGATTTATAGGGTTAAACCACTAAAAGTGCTAAAATAGATTATGAGCACAATGAAATGGTAACTGTGCACATATGCAATGCTGTTACTTGAGCAGACTCAGAAAATAACTGGGGCTTGTTGCAAAAATGCAATAAAACTTATACAAATGGCCCAAAACTATTGTGTAAAACAAGCTGTATTGTTAATCTTTTTCTTCTTCTTGTGTTAGTTATCTAACGTTTGTTATATTTTATCATATTTTTTTCTAGGCTTATCTACAAATGGATTTGGTGCCTTTCCAGACTCTATAGTAACCTCTAGCTGTGGAATATCCTCCTTCGCTGTCTCTCAGGTGAGTGTTTTTGGATGCATAGATAATATGGGGTGATTGTTCATGAGAAAACTAAAACCAGCTATAAATTGATTTCAAGTAAATTAGCCTGAAAGTACTACTGAGTGGTAACCAGAAATAATTATGAAGACAGACATTGCTGGAGGAGAAAGAGGTATTGTGTCGGAGGGCATGAGGCAAAAAATTCCCCTGTTGCAATGCTTTGAAAACATCTTTGACATAATCTGGTGGCTACATGTGAACTGAGAGCTTATTATTATTATTATTATTATTGTATTACAGGTGCATCTCAATAAATTAGAATGTTGTGGAAAAGTTTATTTCAGTAATTCAACTCAAATTGTGAAACTGGTGTATTAAATAAATTCAGTGCACACAGACTGAAGTAGTTTAAGTAGTGTGTGTGATTTTGGCTCACATTTAACAAAAAAGATAACATTTCTCATAACATAAGATTAACATGTAACATAAAATGTAAGGTACAAGATAAAAATGTCCAAATTGGTAAAAAAGCACAGACCAACTGTTCAGATATAATTTTATAATTTTATCTTTTTCAACAACTTTTGATTTGTTGAGCAGTTTTGGTTTAACAGTATTTTATTGTGTATTTAAAAAAAAATGATTGCTTAGCACTATGCATTTTAAAGAGTATCTGCTGTAACTTACGGATAGATGTGAGTCCGACAGCATATTGATTCCCCTCAAACCAGACCAGCCAGAGTGAAAAGAGCGGGATCCGCCGCAGTTTAAAAAGGCGAG